GACGTGTCTCCCGGTCAGGGGTTTCACCGACCAGTCTTTGGACCGGGTCCCCTGGTGTTGTGTCGAGCTTTCGTGTCTGGGGCTGCTTGGCGCTTTTTCGAGACACCTCTGCGGACAAGCTCTCGCCTCGCGTCCTTCCCTATATCTTTCTTGGTTTCACCTTTTACCACCCTCCCCTTCACCGGTTCTTTGACTCCCGCGGTGTCTGTTTCGATGAGTCAGTCCCCTACTACACCCGTTACCCCTGTCGAGGTCTCCCAGTCTCCCCCCCCCCCCCCCTCTCTCTTTCTGGCCCCCGCTCCCGCTGTCCCTCCAATACAACCTCCCCCCCCTGGTCCAGCCCCGTCTGGTGTGTCGCACGCTACCCCCCCCCCCCCCCCCCTCTTGGTAGCACTTTAGGTCCCGTCCCCTTCTCCACAACCCTCCTCTCAATAACCGCAGCAGCCGTCAACACTTCCTCCACAGGCTACTGCAGACTCTGAGGGTACTAGAGATGGTGCTAGCTCTGGGAGTGTTGGAGTTAAAGCTGAGCGTGCGCCTGCTAGAGGTACTGGTTCTGGGGGTGCTGGAGTTGGTGGGGCTGTCACTCGAGGTGCTACGCTTGAAGGTGCGGGTGCGCCTTCTTCTAGACTTGGAGAGACTGGGACTGTTCGAGTTGCCGCTGGGGGTGCTAGTTCTGGAGGTGGTACGACTGGTACTGTGGAGAGCGGAGCTGGGGCTATGGCGTCTCCGGGCGCCACTCCTCCTCCCCACCCCTACCCGATCCGGCACCAAGCTCTTCTTCGACTTGGGCGTGAGGAGCAGCGAAGGTTGGAGTGAGAGAAGCGAGAGAAGCGGAGGTTGGAACAGCGGAGGTTTGCAGCGGCAGCAGGAGCTTCAGCAGCTGGAGCTGCAATAGCGGCTAGAGCAGCAGCAGCCGCCGCAGCAGCACCCGCCCCCGACTCCTGTCACTGGCCTCCGGGCCCTTGGTATTTCGTCTTCTCCTCCTGCGTCCTCCTCCTCTCCTCCTGTTTACAGTCCCACGTTTCCTCCTCCTGACTCCGCCCGGGCTGTTTTCCCCCATCCTCGGCCTCAGTCGTCCCCTCCTCTTCTTTCGTACACTTGGGCTCCTCGCTCTCCTCGTGCCCGTCCCTCGTCCCCCGTCACTGGCCTTCGTACTGTTCTCTTTCATTCAAGTCCACCTCATCCTTCTCCGTCTGTGTTTCCTTCCCCTCCGGAGTCGTCCCTCACAACTTCCTCCTCTACTCCTGTCACTGACTACTACCGCACGTACCGTCCTGTTCGCTCGCGTACCCTCTTGCCTCTCTGTCCTCTGTCTCAGCTCTTACTGCTGCTGTCACTGACTTCGCCGCTACTCGCCGCCTTGACTACGCCATCCGTATATTGGCTGCTCCTCCTAGCCGCCCTCTGTCCGTCGGAGGTGAGTCTGCCCTTGGCTGTGACGCCTCATCTCTGTGCCATGCTGCTTGCCCCTGAGGGAGATCCAGACGCCCTTGACATACCGACTCCTCGCACTTACGCTGAGGCAGTGTCAAGGCCTCAAGCCTCTCAATGGAGAGATGCCATAGATGCAGAGATGGCCTCCTACACATCGACAGGCACCTACGTCGACGAGGTTCCCTCTCCGGGGGCGAACGTAGTCTATGGCATGCGGATCTTCAAGGTGAAGCGACCACCGGGATCTGCTCCGGTCTTCAAGGCGCTCTATGTGGCTAGAGGTTTCAGTCAGCGCGAGGGAGTTGATTTCTTTTAGACCTTCGTGCCTACTCTGAAGATGACCACTCTTCGGGTGTTGATTCACGTAGCAGCGCAGAGAGACTACGAGCTGCAATCTCTCGACTTTTCCACAGTCTTTCTTTAGGGTAGCCTACACAAGGAGGTTTGGCTGCGTCGTTCCTCTGGCTTCACTAGCACCTTCTCACTTGGGACCCAGTGGAGACTGAGACGACTGGTCTACGGTCTCCGCAAGGCACCCCGTGGCACGACACTCTTCGCTTTACGCTGTCTGGCTTCGGTTTTGAGCCGTCTACTGCCGACCCGTCGTTGTTTGTTCGTCGTGGGCCCACACCTTTCGTTGTTCTTGTGTACGTCGACGACCTGGTCTTTGCCACTACAGATAGGGTTGCTCTGGGTGAGGTGAAGTCCGAACTGCAAAAGAGACGCACTGATCTTGGTGAGCTGCGCCACTACCTTAGCCTGCAGATCAACAGGAACAGAGCAGCTCGCACCATCACTCTGACTCAGTCACACATGGTGCAGCAGGTCCTTCAGCGGTTCGGGCTTCAGTTCTCCACTACATAGCCTACACCTCTTGCTGTTGACCATAGACTCGCTGTCCCTTTTCCTGACGAGCTGTTTGAGCCCAGTGGTCCTTACGCAGAGTTGGTTGGCTGCCTCATGTACCTGATGACTTGTACCCGCCCGGACCTCGCCTTCCCGGACCTCAGCATCCTTGCTCGCTTTGTTGCGACTGGGAGACACCGTCGTGTTCACTGGCCAGCTGTTGTGAGGGTGGCGAAGTACCTAGCAACACCATCAGGCATGGGGCTTGTGCTTGGAGGGAGACAGCGAGTCGTACTCACCGGTCACTGTGACTTCTTACGATGACGACGTCGATACTCAGAGGTCCACGCATAGGTATTGTTTCAGCCTGGGCTCTTGCGTTGTATCGTGGAGGTCTACTCGGTCCTCGTCTGTCGCGACCTCTACAACTGAGGCCGAGATTTACGCCGGAGCCATGGTTGCCCAGCAGCTGCACTTGTTGACCTTCTTGCTCACTGACCCTGGTGAGCGGCCGAGCTCTGCACTGACCTTGTTTACTGACAACAAGGCGATGATTCTCTGTGTCGAGAGCCTCGACTGGAGAGCAATGTGAAGCACATCGACGTCAGGTACTTTTTCCTTCGAAAGTTGACAAGACGCAGATAGGCTCGTTTGGACTTCGTGGCCTCCGAGGCCAACACTGCAGATATTTTCACCAAGGCCCTTCCGCCTTGTGACCACCACATGTTTTGTGTGCAGTTAGGCCTCGTTGACACATGTTCTCGTCTACTGTAGTCTTGTGTTCTTACCTTGCTTTGCTTGTACATATATAAATATGCTTGTAAACTCTTGGACTAGCCTTGTGGCCCCTTGTTTGTGCTCGGACTGTGTAGTGACGTTGTAATTTACTATGAGCTTTGCTTCATTGTGACTGGTCTTGTGACCTTGTGCCTTTGTTGTTGCCTGACACCCCTCACTTAATCTATGGAGGTGTGTCAATGTGATAGACAGTAGTGAGGCATGTCATGTGGGGTACAAATATTAGGATTTGTTATACCGGTGTATGTACCCCAACTGATTTCAATTACACCATTCCTTCCCTATCTTGAGACCAGGGCACATAGTGTTTGCTTGTTATATGTACCCCAACTGTTTCTAATGACACCATCCTTTCGTATTATGAGACTGTCCAGCAACGCATGGTTTGGGAAAGTGGTGCGCGAAAAAACACCTTCAGCAAAACGGACGAAGAATGGTTGGTCCTGTACGTGATGTTGGGATGCGCGGTAAAGAATGTCAAAATATTCATGTACGTTGCGCACACTGTAAGATAATTCATAACAGTTGAGCACTATGTAAGTTGATTCATAACACAATCGAACCTTTTCAATATGATGGACTTCGATGGAGTTCGCTACCCACCTACAGCATTAGCCACTAGGCTAAGCCGCATTAGGGTTCTGCGGCTCCTCCTAAGCGTCGACATTGACGGCACGGAGGGAACCAAAATCAATGAGTGTTTTATAAGGACGTCATTATGAGAGGTCCCAAAACCGCGCTGCGAGTAGGGACCAAATCGTTTGATTGGTTGGGACTAAACGTGACTGCTCGCTAATGACAGTACCCTAGAACACTGCAAAGTCGTTTTCTTTGGTTGTCCCAGACCTGCCAACGAAACCCTAATTTTTTTCCTGACCGACTGACAGCGAGGGCTGGTGGTGGCATACCGGAAGTAGCTGCCCAAAAGGAGGCCTCGAGTTTCTCTCTTATTATTCTTATTGCTCTTAATACTTTGTTTTACCATTCATTGGCTTATCTCAAAAATGCCGCACGCATTTTCAGGGCCGGCGGCGATGCCCTCCGCACCGTCCGATCCTGCCGGCGATACCACCAGCAGCGGCGACATAGGCCACGCGGAGAGTAAAGACAGCCCGCGTCATCATGACGTCACCAACATACCTCCGCGACCGTTTCCTTCAAACGGCCGTCGCCACCCGCCAGACGTTCTCCATCTGCACTTACCGAGTCCGCGATCCGGACCTGCTTCTAACGCGTACGATCTGTCCGGCGAGTCGGAACGATCTCCCAGCGTTCATTCCATGACGGGCGAATCCCCGCAAAACTCGGCCACTTTTCTCCGCCTATCCTCCATCTCTTCAAAACAATCCTCCGTCTCCTCCTCCCCCATCCCTAGCCCCATCGGCGCTTCGCCTTCCCCCTCCGCCTTCTCCGTCTCCTCCGCTTCCTCCTCCTTCTCCTCCCGCCCTCGAACAGCGCCCAGCAAACGGGGCCAGTACAGCCGTTCGATCTCCATGGGCGCTGGGATGGCGAGAGCCGTCGGATCTGTCACGAGCCATCATCAAGTGGACAATAACGATATCTACGCCTTCTGCCCGCTCGCGACTTCCGCGGGAGGCATCCCCACGCCGCGCTCCCAGAGATTAAGCGAGTCAGGCCTCCCCGGATCGCGCTCGTTCTCGTCTACGATTGGTATTCCCGCGGCGCGGCCTACCGCGGAGCCTCTTAAACTCGGGCCGCTTATTTCCGCGGTCGCTTGCGGTAACGAGGAGGAGATCCGCGACGCGGTTTACTGCGTGAGGCGAGCGCTCAAGGGCTGCCCGGAAAACAAAGAAAGGCTGATCCGATCAGGAGGAATACCTTTTCTGGTCAGTTTAATGAAAGTTCCTGACCCCCTGACAGTGGAACATGCAGTCACAGCGATTTTCAACATCTGCCGGATGGAAGCCGGGCAAAAGGAAATTTTCTCTGAGGGGGGGCTGGAGTCTCTTGTGGACGTCCTCCGGGCAGCAGAAAACAACGAAGCTGCCCGGGAAAACGCGGCGGCGGCTATTTTCTGCCTGGCGAACACAGAGGAACGAAAGCAGCTGGTTACCGAGAGAGGAGCGTTACCACCGCTGGTGGGGTTGCTGCAGACTAGTAGTGTGAGAGGGCAAAGAGATGCTATTCTGACCATCTGGAGTCTGGTTAGGTGGCTCTGTGCGTGCTCTCTTTATGGCTTCCCGGGTGACACAGCAGCTGGTGATGCGGGGTGTCATAGTGAGGCAACAGCAGCAAGAGCCGGAGCAGGAGCAGGAGCATCAGTAGCAGCAGCAGAAGTAGGAGCAGGAGGAGCAGGGGAAGGGGAGGAGGAGAGAAGCAGTGATGCCACAGAGGCAGCAGATGGTTCAGGAGGCAGCAGGGGGGGCAGCAGAGGGGACAGTGGGAAGGAGAGCAAGGAGGTTAATAAGGAGGGGGAAGAGCAGGATGAAGAGGAATCCGAACCTGTGAGAAAACCCGTCACTATCGCTGATTTCATTGCCACTGGTGCAGTGCCTGTTCTCACCGGGCTCTTACAGTCGTCGGATCAAGGGCTGGAGGAGCGATCAATGGCCATCCTTTCTCTCCTCTCCAAGTTCCCCGAAGGCCGGCGGGCCATCTGGGAAGCAAACGGCGTGGAGGGTGTGTGTGATGTGCTGGAAATGTCGTCTCAGAGGGCTAAGGAGGAGGCAGTGGCAACGCTGCTGCGAATGGCTGGGAGTGATGCGGCGGTTAAGGCGGTGTTGGTTAGAGAAGGCGTGATACCGGCGCTTTATAAGATTCATAAGGAGAGCGAGGGGAATGCAGGGGTGAAGGCTAAGACTCTGCTTGACATGCTGCGGACCACCGGGAAGTAACTTTGAGTTACTCCACTCATTCTTGGCACTGTATAACATCGTAGGTCTGGCAGGGTGGGGGTAGGGGCATTTTAGTCTCCCTCGTCGCTTGCTCAGGACTGGGAAAGTGAGGTAGTCGATCTTAGTCAACTCAAAAGGGACTGTCACTTTTCTGCTGTGTGTGAGCGAAAAAGGGCGGGCAAAATGGCTCTCTCTGTCTTAGCTTTCCATTTGCTCATTGAAAGTGAATGAAGATAAATTTTCTGACTGGGGCGCCTGTACTGGTGGTACCTTCTAGTTGAACTGGGACATTTTCAGTGTTATCCAGTCTCATAGTTTACCTTCCTGCATGGATTTTGCACCATTGCAAAGTGCTCAAGATTATCGTGACTCAACATTCTCCAGCACAAGACCAACATCAGCGCCAAAAATGATCACAGTTAAAAAATCTACACCATCTATACACACAAAAGGTGTCTGCCTACAGAGAGGAGTGAGAGGTGCGAAGGGCCTCACCAGCAAACACACACAACACCACCACACGAAAGTCTCAGCGCATGTTGCATCAGCCGAAGCATAATCCAGTGAAATCCTTCTCAAAACGGTTTGCTCTACAGGGTGGCAAAGACCCTCCTCCCTCACTCCCCACCTCCGATTTGTCAATCCCAAACCCACATACCCACCCAACCAATCTACAGTTTTATTTGAATTGGTCTCAGCACTTGTCCATAACCAGACATAGCCCTCTCTCCACTGCCCCTTCATCCCCTGCAAATCCCCCAAACCCTCTCTTGCATTTCGCTAGAGAGCGCACCCTCCCGTCGAAGGCAGTTCGAGCGAGACCATGACGTGGGACTTGCCGGCCTGTCCTCTCTCTCCTGTCCCTCCTATACTTTCAACCACTCAGCACTTCGCGCTCCCAGCATCCTCCCGTTGAGCAAGAGGCAGCTCAAGCGAAACCATAAAGTGGGACTTGCCGGCCTCGCGAATGTACTGCACGTCGCCGTTCATCAGCTTCACAATCTTGCGGCAGATGCTCAGCCCCAGCCCCTCCTGCGACTTGCTGTGGGCGTCCGCCCGGTCAAACATCTGGTGGATCAGGTCCTCTGGGAGGCCTTCTCCTGCGTGGCTCACCCTGGAAGAGAGAGGGGGCAAGCAGGGGAGAGAGGGGGAAGTTGGGTTGAAGAGGGAGGGAAGAGTGTTAAGGAGAAGGCAGGTGCCCAGTCCCAGCCCCTCCTGTGAGTTGCTGTGTGCATCGGCACGGTCAAACATCTGGGAGCCCCTCTCCTGCGTGGCTCACCCTGGAAGAGGAACGGGAGACAAGGAGAGACAAGCAGTGGGGAGAGGGGACAAGCAGGTGGCGAAAATGGGGCAGGAAAGGTTAAGAACAGATGTGAGAACCGCTTGGACCTCCTACTTGAGGACGAAGGTGCACCAACCGAGACAGGCAGTGCAGGCTACACTTTTCTGAACTGCACTCATCCAGGCAGCCTGGTGGGCATGGCGACACAGCCTTGACCTCCCCCCACCCACCTACTGGCTGCGCTACAGGGCTCGCCCTTGATCGCACAGACCATAGACTTGCTCAAGTTGATCGGCATTGACTGCATTGACTTGCTTGAACTCAAGCTAGACCACGGTAATTCCTCCCGGCAGCTTGGTGGGCGTGGGCACAACCTTGACCTCCACCCACCCACTGGCCGGGGTGAGCTGCATTTCATTGAGTTGATTGCATATACTCGCTAGACCATATTGACTGCATTGACTTACTTGAATTCCAGCTTCACAACAGTGACTCCTCCCGGCAGCTTGGTGGGCGTGGGCACAACCTTGACCTCCACCCACCCACTGGCTGGGGTGAACTGCATTTCATTGAGTTGATTGCATATACTCGCTAGACCATATTGACTGCATTGACTTACTTGAATTCCAGCTTCACAACAGTGACTCCTCCCGGCAGCTTGGTGGGCGTGGGCACAACCTTGACCTCCACCCACCCACTGGCCGGGGTGAACTGCACGGCGTTCAGCAGGAAATCCGCCAGCACCTGCTGCAGCCGCACCTGGTGAGTGGGGGAAGCCCGGGAAAGGGGGGAAAATGAGGGGAGGGGGGGGGGTGGGGGGAGGGAGAGGGGAAGAAGAGGGAGAGACGGAACAGAGAGAGGTTAGGAAAGACGTTGTGGACAGAGGCATTGTGTGACAAATCCGTGGTTCATTGGGCCGGGAGAAGTTGTGTTAGAAGAAGTTTCATTTGCATCATAAACAGTTGGGAAGGTAGACATGAAGGGAAGCATAAGGTGGAGTGTGGGGGGAGTCAGGGGTAGAAGGTAGGAAAAACGGGAAGCATCACAACAAAGCTGAAAGGAGGGAGAGGGAGATATGAGGTCGTTTGGCTGTTTACTTGACCCTTTTTTAGCTGTTCCTGCACATCACAGCGTAAGTTGATACCACTCTGGATCGTACCTGGTCGCCGAACACGTTCATGGTCTTGAACTCGGGTGGGGTGTCACAGAAGAGCTGCAGGCCCTTGCGAGAGGAGGAGATCATGCCCTGGCTGACGACGCTGTTCATCACCGTCGCCATCATGAACTCTGCTGTGTCCAGCTCCAGGTAGCTGGAGGTGGGAGGAGACAGGGGGGATGATAGAAGAACGCAGGGAAGAAGGGGAAAGAAAGAGGAGAAAATCATGCCCTGGCTGACGACGCTGTTCATCACCGTTGCCATCATGAACTTCGCTCTGCTGTTGTCATCACCGCTGTGTCCAGCTCCAGGTAGCTGTGGATGGGACCAACAGCAGGAAAGATGGGGAGGGGAGGAGGGAGAGGGGAGAGGGAGGAAGAAGGGGAGAGGGGAGAGGGGAGAGGGAGGAAGAAGGGGAGAGGGAAGAGGGGAGAGGAGAGAGGGGAGAGGGGATGGAGAGGGGAGAGGGGAGAGGGAAAGGAAGAGGAGATCATGCCCTGGCTGAGCGCACTGTTCATGGCTGTTGCCATCATGAACTCCACCGTGTCAAGCTCGAGGTACCAGACAAGGGGAAGAAAAGGAGCAGAAGAGCCAAGGGAAGGGTTCATAGATAGAGGGCTCATCAGGAGTGACTCTCCATGGGCTCATCAGGGGTGACTCTCCATGGACCATTGAAAGGAAAGTATCGCTATCTGGTTCAGAAGTTAACTCCAAAGACCTTGTTAAAGGAAAATATCATTCGTGGACTGGACTGGCTGAGTGCCATGGTGTTCATTCTCCATCCCCAATCCCCCACCCGCACTCACCCTTCCTCGATGCTGGCGAGGTCCATGTCATCAAGAATCCGCCGCAGCTGCTTCTCGCACATGGCGCTCGTCTCCACGAGCTGCTTCCACACACCCACAGTCCCCAGCACGCCCCCCCACACGCACTCACCCTTCGCCAGCGGGTTCTTGATCCCCTTCGCCTTGCCATTCCCCTACACACCCGGTTACCAGCATTACTTTTCACACACCCACAGTCCTCAGCACGCGCCCCCTCTCCCCCTCCCCAGCACTCACCCTTCTTCGATGCTAGCAAGGTCCATGTCATCCAGGATCCGCCGGAGCTGCTTCTCGCACATGGCGCTCGTCTCCACGAGCTGCTTCTGGTCCTCCGTCAGCTCCGTGTGCTCAATGAACGACCGCGCAAACATGATGCCGTCCAGCGGGTTCTTGATCTCCTGCCGGATGTATGCCAGCTCCTTGGCTTTCGCCTCCGCAACCTTCTCGGCGGCCTTCTGCACGGTAAGGGCTTGCTGGAGCTCCGGGGAGGCCGTGTGGAGGAAGCAGAACACGCCCGTGATGGCGCCCTCCGCGTCCGTGCGCTTCTGCGCCGTCAGCAGCACCTCCACCAGCTTGCCCTGTGGGAGTCGAATGGGGTTGCAGCGGAGGAAGAGGAGGGGAACGAACCAGATGACAGCATGGTGACATGGTACATTGGGACTAGAAAATGCAGTGAGGCGAGGCGAAGCAGCCGCCTTCTAACTAAACTAAGGGTACATTCCGGGCTCTGGTCAGAACCTCTGGTCAAACCTCTGGTTATCCGAAATCATGCCTATTTCTCACCAATTGTGCTAATTGTAAGGTTGGCTACAGTGTTAACCAGAGGTTTGACCAGAGGTTGGACCAGAGCCGGAATGTACCCTAACAGTGTCTTGCATTATCTGTTTTTTTATTAGGATTCTAAAAAAACAGATTCAGCCGCCTTCTAACTAAACTAACAGTGTCCTGCAGGAAGTTTAACCCGCAAGCTAGAGAGAAGCTTAATCGCCACGAGTGGATTGCAACCTTTTAAGCTAGAAAAACGCACCTGGCGGTCGAGGAAGGAGAAGGGGAAGCGCTCAGTATCATTCCCGTCCATGGCGTTGTTAAGGATGATCATGAGCTTTGTAATGGAGTCACTGCTCTTCAGGCGGCAGACACAGCGCCTCTAACCTGTGAGCATCTGACCAATCACCAACCAAGTGCCAACTCAAACGCACCTGGCGGTCGAGGAAGGAGAAGGGGAACCTCTCGGTGTCGTTCCCGTCCATGGCGTTGTTGAGGATGATCATGAGCTTGGTCATGGCGTCACTGCTCTTGAGGCGGCACAGCGCGCCAAAGACGTCGCCAGTGAGCATCTTGCCCATCACCTCCTCGCGCTTCAGCCCCGCCAGCTTCTCCATTGCAGGGTTCCACTCCGTGCAGTACCCAAACTCTGGTGTTTTAAGGGAAAGAAGCGCGGGAGTGGGGGGAGAGGAGGAGGGGAAAACGAGAAACGTGTGAAGGGAGAGAGGCACGTGTCCACCACGTTCCCCTACCCCTTCCCTTCCTTCCTTCACCTGTCCCCGGAAGCACCTCGGACCCACCCCATACGCGCTCTCAACGTGCGCGTATGGGGGATGAAGGGAGGAATGAGCAGAGATAATGGGGTGAGATACGTGCTGCACGAAGCACACGCCCACCACAATCCCATTTTTCTTCCCCTTCTCCAATCACACGTCCATGAACGAACCGAGGCCACTCCAAATGCACCTCAACG